CTGACACTGTATATTTTGTCTGCAAAACCACCACAACTCTTCAGTGCCCTGATGATGGAGGCAGGACCTCTGAAATGCTGTTAACTTCTACAAGACTTCATGGTGCTACAACACAGAAAACAGTCTTCTTCATACTCACAGTTATGGAAACCTCAAATCCTTCTTTATCTTTAATTCTTGACTCTGGCTGATGAAGGTCTTTGACTATGCTGTCATCTGCCAGCCTGGTTAGAGGAACAATAGAAATCCACATTTAAGGTGGGAACAGGCTTTGGTCAGGATTTCTACTTTGCCGCAGGTGGTGGGGTGACAGTACAGATGATATTCTTGGTATTCCTCACACAAAGTTCTGCAAGGGAGATCAGGCCCCACTGTTTAAGTCATTACTACATCACGTTGCCACTTACTGGCACAAACAATATAACAAGTGTGACTTTTATCAAGAAACTGTGTAACTGTTCCAGCTAAGTTGCACGTACATTTAACATTTCAAAACTCCCAAGAATATTTATAATTGTTATAATGGCCTGAAGAATAAGAAGACAGACTTAGAATCCTTGCAGGCAGACAAAACTTTAATATGGGTACATGTATGTATACAAATCCACGCTCTTCTTACAGTTTCATATTTTAGAAATTTATACTCAGAAGAATTCAACACAAACATAAAACTTGTTGAAACCTTCAATTACATAACAAGATGTGTGATGGAAATTAAGTCCTAATCACTTTTCAGAAAAGAAGAGAAAGAAACTATTCAAATGCTTCAGTTCTTTAATACTATGCTGCTGATACTGATCACAACAAACAATGAAATCCAAAAAATGTCATCAGATAAAATTCATATAACAAAAGCTGATTTATTCATTTGTCACTCAGATTTTAGAAGTCACAGTTTTAGCACCTTCTCATAAGCATTATCACAAGATATAATTATTACTGTTAAATAATTCGGTACTACGACATTTATGCCCCCCCCGGTACAATGACTTATGAAAGTAATATTAACAAAATATATACAGCAGAGATTTACTCCAGAAAAAATGTGTCTCTGTCACCCTTAGAAACAAGAGGTTGGGTTGACAGTCCATCTACACAACAAGTTTTATGATTACAGTCTCACTGTTTATGTTACAAGAAAGGTTCGTCTGTTTTCCAAACTGTAACAAATATGTCTTGCTTTAAATATCCTTCTCTATTACAGTCAGAATACATAAACTCTGTATTTCATATTTATGTTTTCAGTAACTTAACTGAAAATTATCTAGAGAAACTGCAGACGCCATCGTCAGGAAATAAATGACACATTTAATAATCACACACAAAAGGAACTTTCAGTTGTAAATCGAGAAGGCATCGCATTTTTATATACTCAGCATTCAACTGAAGCTCGAAGATGCATTCTCTGTAGACTGTTAGTTAATGTAAAGATTACAAATGTATCAATATTTGTCTATTTTCTGCAGAGAATCTTAGCTGACAGGAGGAAAGGTCAGGCTATTTAGAGATAAATATGGAATTTATTGAGGTAGTGTAAATCTATGAGATACACGAATAAACTCACGTTTCAGACTGTCTACCAACGAACTGTGTTTGGATGGAATTATTTTAAAAATTGAAGGGTTTAGGTCAAAGATTATTTTATGAATGTTTAGAATTTCAAGAATTTAATATTCTACAAATACTTTAAATATTTTCATTCTGCTTAACATGATCTAATAAGCAACCTATACATTATCATTCTCATGTCTTCAAATTGGCTGCCATTTTAAAAATTCAAGCATAATGATGCACTCATTATGACACTGAATCCTCATTTCCCATACAAATTTTATTATTAAAGAAAGTACTCCATTTAGGCTCATACAAGACCAGCAAGATCAGAACAAGCAATAGATCTGACTTTTAAACTCAGTCTTTAATAAATTACGTTTTGATGTTTTATTTTTACATTAAACGTTTCCTACGCAGTAAGATATTGACAACTCTGCCAACACCCTTTGCAGCCCGTGATCCTTGAAGTTTCTAACGTATCACTAATAATAATTTTGTACAATTTTAATTATGTAACTAATGTTACAAATACACGCACATACAATCACTAACAGAAAAACCGGATTCAAGCGCTGCCTGTATCACTTCGCATGCACTGATCTTCCTTCTCATATCATTTCAGATTTTGTGTTTTAACTAAGATAATAAGAAGTGAAGTCCTGATCACTTGGGTCTGTTCAATGGTTACCCTTATTTGGATTACCTTAATACTGTATTCATTCAATACACAGTGTACTGGTACAAGATTGTACCACCTTCTCTCAGAGCAGCGGTAATGAATGTGATTAACTTGATGTATGTCTCTGCATTAGAACGAGAGAATGATTAGCAATTCCTACTTCAGCACAATAAATATCTGAAATCTGTATGGTCAACGTGATCACTAATCATACTGTGGAAAGTAATTCATATTACTTGAAAGGAAAAGTTCTAAAAAAATATGTACGCACACATTCTGTAAAAATGGCACCACCCGACTATTAGAACATCAATCACTGTCCTCATCTAAGTGATTCAAGTTTGATCCAAAACTCTGTTCATCTACTTCCAAATCCTCTCCCTCATGGAAGATGTTGTCTGACGTCTTGATGCACTGAAAACAAACAGGAATTAAACACATCACAATTTCAAAACTTAAACTAGACAAATGAATAATAAAAAACTGTCTGAACCAACAATATACCAAAAAATGTTCCAGTAATAAAGTACTTAAATGAAATACGACAGTGGAGTGGTTAGGGTATCATGGGGTATTTGCACCCAAACGTAGCGTGTTAAAATAGTCCATGACCACATTAACATCCAGAACAATCCTGACATTTGTCATTTCATACCACATAAAGCAAATAAGATTAATAAATCTGAGATTTGAAGTTCTCGCAGTAGTGAAGAAATCGACCGTAGTCTTCTGGGATGTGACGTCATGCACGATTACCAACGTTCCTTTAAAATTCTAGAAAACCACCTACAAGACCACATGGCATCGCAACATAAGATCATGATACAGCGTTTCTTGAGCAGCAACTATTCTGGCAAACAAGAGACCTGCAGCACTTACATCTTGAACGGTGATGCGTGGCGCAGTCATTTGCTCAGGATTGTGCCATGGTTTCCAGTTAGGGCTGTTTTGTTTCTTCCACTCAGGATATGCTTTGGAAGCCTTAAAGAGTTTCTTCACCAACTACAATAAAACAGGTTACTTAAGTACACTGCAAGATACAAACACGCAAACTAAAAGTCGGAAATCTTACGAGAACAGAAGGAGATTTTTTTTTAAATTTCCTGTAATTGATAACGACATGGTTGGTGCATAAACTTGTGAGGTAGAACAGACACTAGGAACATTTAATTAATACAAGGTCCTGAAATGACACATGGTAAAAGATCTCAGAAAAATATGCGCCTCTTTTTTACCTTTACACTTACTAACGCAAGACACGCCCATGCCAGAAATATTTTTTGAACACGTACAGAATACAAATTTCTTCCACTAGCAGAGCACTAGAGGGTTAAAATTACTTACTTTTGGAGCAAATATTTGTGTAACTTTATTAACTAGCCATGGAGGTAGTGTGCCTTGAGGATCAGTCTGAGAGACGTAACTAAGTTCTGAGCCCGCAGGGCCTGAAGGACGGATCAGGAATCCTGCCAACATAATAAATAATCTAGTTACCATCAAATTTAACTGGAAAGGGTGGGCAGTACATGTAGCAGTATTTTTATTCTACCATGTATAAAGTCACTCAAATGTTTGATACAGTTTTTACCTTCTACGGAACAGTATAGTTGTAACTATACTCACAAGAACCACACACTTGACTCCATCCTGATCAACTTGAATCAAGTCCACACCCTCACACACTTTTCTTTAAAATCCATTTTAACATTACCCTCCCACCTACACCTAGAGCTCACAAATGATTACGTCCCTTCATAAGTCGTGACTAAAATGTTGTTTACATTTCCCAGACTCCCACATTGTTCTGAATATGAGGAAAAACTAAAAGTTCATGGGGCGATAGTAAGCATAGTTATTTTAAGGATCAAATTGGTATTACAAGTTGAGAACGTGTAAATCACAATAAAACATTATGTTATGAAATCCACAACTTATTAATTCTATTTGAAACAAAGAATAAATGACACATAAATTGAATAAATAAAAAATTGTAGCTACTTAAGAGCGGTGACAAAACTGTGGTAATTACTTAGCAATGTAAATTACATCATACTGTACCGATATTACAGAACCTCTGTACAAACTTAGAATAAAGTTCAGTAAAATACTTTTACCAAATTTGAAAATAAATTTGTAGATGTTACAGCCATTTCAGTTGAAGAATGAAATTTCTGTGACTGTAAAAACCACATTTCCTCTACTGACAGGTTGTATAAGAAATGTATTTAAATCATCTGGCATTGAAAGTTAAAGCATCTTATTTAACGGTTTCTGACAACCTATTCAAGATGAATATCTCATTAACAGAGATTAGCTATACACTGCAGATGTTTACTGAAATGTGGGCTGGTGATACATACACACATATTTTAATTTCACCTGTCAGGTAGGATGTTGCACGAATAAAGCCCCGTTTTGGGGGGAAATCTCGATGAAACACAGAATGATTAATGATGAATTGTTCTTGTCCTGTGTCCAACCATGACCTCTGTAGTATGAAATCCCTGTTCCGTAACGGTGCTGGGCAGGACACTGAAAGCAAAGAAATAAATAAGCGATTAACAGCAGAACATGCACAGAGTTGTCTCAAAAGGCTCCCTTACTAGATGGTGCACCACGTTCCAATAATGACCAAGTCACGGCAGTCTTAGTAATATTAATTATTTCACCTGTACTTGATTTTTTTGGGGGGTTTATTAATGATGAGAGAGAATATTTTAAAATGCATACAATATTTTTGGTAGACAACCTAAAGGGAGAGTCAAATTATGAGACATAGGCTTAAATGGTAGGATAATATTAAAATGGCCCAGGATAGGGATGCGTGGTCAGCTGTTGTGAACACTTAAAGGAACTTTGGGTTCCATCAAATATGACTAGCTCAGTGACTACCAGCTTCTCAAGGACTCTGATGCATGGCATTTTCATATCATCAGACAACTTAATTTAAATTATTTTAAAATACTAGTTACATGAGAGCAAAATACAATTAGAATTCTAATGCAACTATTGCATCACAGAAATGTGTGGAAATTTAGTTACACAGATTTAAGAACATTACAACTTATGAAAAAAGTGCTATTCATTAATGCTACCATAATATCTATCAACACTTACCAGTGTTACACACTTACACAAAGACGTGTTTCAGCCAGTTCAGGTATTACCAGTGCACCCACATGAATCATAAGCCTCACAATTATAACCACTCACATTTATGTGCTATATAAGGCATCACCACTTAATGCTGTTCATTAACACTGCGATTATATCTTACTTGCATAATATCCAACATCATTGTTTGGGTTAAGGCAGCCAATGTCACGTGACTCTATCATATGTTGGTCCCAAACCTTTCTGTAGTCTGGATCATGCAATACATCATATATCTGCTGAGGACTTACTTCAGCAAAAAAGGTACAAATCTGAAACACAAAAACTTCAATTTCAACCAATTTAAATCACCAGATAGTGTACTATCATATATCTGAAATGCATAAAATCATATACAGACAGCACAGAAATGCAGTATTCTAATACCTTTATCATTTTGAAGCTTGTTTTTGGAACAGATTTTGTCCAAACTTTTGTTGTTGATTTATTGTAATCAAGTTTCCATCCAGTGTGATCATCAACAAGTTTCTTCAGTTTCTCAAAGTCCTTATCCTCAGCAACTTTAACAATTCCAACATCCATTTGTTCTGAAATACTGTTAAAAGAATAAGCTAATTTGGTAAAACTATAAAAAATAAGGTAATGTTGTCCACAGTGAGGTCCTGTAGACACTGCAAGAATGGAGACCACTTCAGCAATACTACTATTGTGTCATTTTATATTTAAACAAGAAGATGTTTAGTCTGAAATCTTATAAACGGTTTTAGACTTAATAACAAACACAGCTATATCCGCATCTTTAGATGCTATACGAACTCCTACGGGCATTGTTGTGTTTCATTACTGCCGTCAACAACTGGCTTTCGAGACCATTGGCATTGCTGTGTACCTAAGAGACAGTTTAGTTATCTGTTTACTGACATTGTTGTGTTTGTTTACCGCCGTTGACAATCGGTTTTCGGGTTAGAGTATGAAAAGAGCTGAGCTGTGAATCGCATGTAGGAGAAGTGTGTGCGCGCGAGTCGAGAGCAGAGAACAAAAACTCAGATACTGTTGTAGTAGTAGAGAGTTGCCTGTCAGTGTAGACCTCTGTATCCGATTTAATTTGACGTGAATAAATCAAGGGTTGACGATCAAGGTCGTGATTACCAACCTACGTCACAGTATAAACAAATGGATTTAAATTTCACTAGTACCATTACAGACAACTGCTCAGGAACAGCATAATTGTGTCCCCACACTGTGGAAACAAAAGGCACAAATTACTAGCCATCATAATGAAAACTTGCAGGGAATAATTTTAAACTATGTAGGATTTGAGGTTTTCACAGCAATGAGTCTGAAGATGGCTGTCTTCTGGGTTGGTGCGCAGTGTAGTCTGGTAGATGCTGCCTCCGTCATCAGGCAGCATGACCTCTGAAATATCGGTGGACATCTACCAGACTACATGGCGCAACAACCCAAAACTGCACATTTTCAAAGAATAGCTCTGATGCCTCTTGTTAATGATTTCTGGGAATTCACAGTACTGTAAACACATGTATGGGCATGCTATAATGACATTCATCAAACCATTTCACAATCTGGCAAAAAGAATGGTTACCCTGGAGATGAGAACCAGTGCTGGGCAGTAAAAACATAACCACACATAGATTTATGTGCAGCACCTTCACGTCAAGTATAGCCTATTATATAGTAACATTTACAACACCTTGTAACTGTCATACATACATATCTATTACATTACATAAGTTGTTCACATGATAATTGGATGTGGAATAAGTCATAATAATATAATGCATATACACTAATGCAATTCAAATTATAAATATTTCACATGTGATGTCTATTCCTATTTTTAATATGTATTAATATATACAGGCATACATCCAGCAAAGTGGTGATGAATAACGTGCTAACACATTACACATACTGGATACATGTACATAATGTGTGTATGTTCTACCAACAAGAATAGGACATAATAGACACTTACGACACTAGAGAATCTGAGTCAGAATTTGTTTGACTCCAAGGAACCTAAAACAGTTCTTTTGAATGCAATAGCATTTACCAACGTGATCAATTAATTGCAAAATAAATCAATGCAAGTTAAAATGGGTTAGGTTCACAATTTGATAACAGGGGTCATAAAATCAGAAATCCTTTCATTTGTTACCCTCACAACACTTCATCTTCTACAGTCCTTAATAAAATTCTCACTGATATTCTGTATTTCAGAACACCAAAGATTAGGCCTACATACCGAAAGATGTAATTCAATTGTACAATGTGGCCAGGTATCTTCCAGCATTAATACATCTTCATTAACCCCAGCCGTGTACTTCTGCGTTATCTGCACTGACAAGTATAGTCATCACGCGTCACTAATATCTGATATTAAAACGCTTTCCGGGACTGATACGATTCAGATCGTTCATTCAATGCCCAGATATCTCTGTACGAAGTCCGTGAAATCTGAGTCACACATGTTATCTGCACACCTACTTAATTTTAAACCAATCTTATATCACCAAATTTTGCTTCGTATACTATTGTTAATCTAATTTTATTATTACATGTTGTTTATGTAGCTTCTGCCGCAAAACGTGCAGTAAACACTTCCATTGGAATCAGCTGACTGACGTTTTCCATATGGGAAGAGGCGAGGTCACAATAAGGTGCTACCTTAATACGTGGGTGTTAACCATCTTACAAGTAGAGTAAGCGGTATAAATTTAACAAATTAGACATTGGGGAAGGGAGAATTTGTTTACGTGTGTTCGTAGTGGGCAGTATCAAAACATTACGTCGCAAAAGAGGGCTTCTACAGAATGTTAGTAATTCCCGGTGTATTTATACTTAATAGGGTGCCGGTTTTTGAATAATCTCTATACATTTTTTTGGATTTTAAATATGTTTCAATATATATACGGCGGTTCGCCCCATCCCTAGTACAGGATAATTGTCCTTTGAGGCGATAACGCCGGTAAGCCACATTTACAATTTAATATCACCACTGTGAATCGGCATATACACTCTTCGCATGTCCTTTCACTTCACTGATAAAATGCTTTTTATCGTAGTGGCTTATCGTGTTTATGTTTACGGCTTATAGTCTGTCCGTTTTAAGCTGTAATGCGTGCCTTGCAGTAGCCTGGAGTAATACTGAGTCTGTGGTACTGTACTTCAATTCATTCTTCCTTTACATATTTAACAATGCTTTAAATCGCACACATTTTTTTGCACCGAATGGGAGAAATGGAAATAACGTGGTACTAAGAGGCCATAACTTAATATAAGATTCTATGCTCGGATAGCTTAAGAAAACCATGAAAGACTTCATATTTCAGGTTCCAATGGTGACGAATATGAAGACTACCTACAGTCTACTGGGATATTGTGACATCTGTCCTGGTAGATATTGACTTAAGCACCCTAACGATGGAGGCGGTAAGCTCCTCTGAAACATCAGTCAATATCTATCAAGCTACGCAGTACAACATCCATCTCCTTGAAAAACCTGAATCAGAATAGCTGGTTTCTGATCCAGGATTTGAACCTAGAGCCTCCCAAATAGGAAGTAGAAGTGATTACCCCTTGACCACCATGTTCACGTGCAATGAGCTTCATCTGTCTGTGTTGCCAAGAGAACACTTTTCTGTTACCCGGTTTGCTTATATACGAACAGACAAGTATTTCTACAACTCATCCTTATGATTAACATTCAAAATACCATACCAGTAATTCTTTGATCCGTTACCAGTGTATTAATATGGTCACTGATATTTTTACACAAAAGTAAAATACAGAACACAGAGGGAATTTTTTACAAATATCTGGTCTAAATAAACCTATAAACAAAGAATTTAGCTTTGTATATGCTGAACAGGGACCTCCTGGCATCACTGTCTTTACTAGCCATGACCTGAATTCTGAATCAGGATTTTCCACTGATATGCATACTGAGTTATTGTCTGTCTGCGTAATAGGCAAGTGATTATTTGCTGCCGAGAAATTTTGGGCCTTATGTGATAATATTTATGACCATGTGTGTTACTTCTTTAGGTTTACTGGTAATTCTTAATGATTAATTTACTACAATACCTATAATGGAGGATTAAGGGCTCTGTTGTGTTTCTTATTGTGTAGTTTTGTGATACAAAATTTCTTCTTCATGTGATTAACATTCTCTTTAGATTGAATCTGACAAGCAGCCCCTGTGATTCAATTTATGTACTACTGGTACCATCAGATTTTTTTTTTGTCTTACAGTTTGTAATTTGTTTTTATCTTTATTTCAAACACACAGGAAGCAATGAATATGGATTTCTCGGTTGGTGATAAAGAAATTGATGAGAAGATTGAAGAATGGTTACAGTGGGACAAGGTACTTTGCATATTTCCCTAATGTTAGGCCAAGGTAATGGCGCTTCACAACAAATTTTCTCTGTTATTCCAATATTATTTGTACAGTAATGATAAATCATGAGTAGAAGCCTAGTAGTTGTATATTTGTACTCTGCAAAGTCTTTAATAAGTAGGTATGTTCATATTAATCTGCACTTTTCAGCTAATAGTAATTTGGATACAGTGGGAAATAGGAACTTGAACTTGATGGATGGAGAACAAAGTAATGTGTTTAATGGAATATGGCTCCTTTTTACAGCCTGTAGTTACACAAAGTTTGAGAAATTGTTGAATAACTCTGAGAGTAGGACCTGAAGGCCTAGCACTGTATTGAAGGTGACTGTCTTCTGGGTAGCAGTGCTGTGTAGTCTGGTAGAAGTTTACTAACGTTTCAGAGGTCCTCGCTGCCTCTATCACCAGGGTGATGAGTACACATTCAGTACTCATCAGCCTGATGATGGAGCCAGCACTGTGAGAACCTCAACTCCTATTTAGCACCACATTGTTCTTGTTGCCGTCGTCATCATCATCAACGCAAATCTGTTGGGTGGGAACAACACTAGAGCCATCAGTTCAGTGCCTTGAAATTTTGTATGGTGATGAAATTGAAAATATAACAATGAATAAATAATTTAATAAATCTCTGTTTCACAGAATGAGAAGACAAGAAAAGAAATATATTCCCTTTACTTGTCCAAAGATGTACCCAAGCTGAGAAAATTGTTGCTGTCTCGACTGAAGTTTGGAACAGCAGGATTGCGTGGTCAGATGGGGCCTGGTTATTCGCAGATGAATGACCTGGTAATAATTCAGACAGCACAAGGATTGACAGTCTACCTTGAAGAAACTGCAAAGGATGTAATTCATGAGAGTGGTATTGTCATTGGCTATGATGGCCGACACAACAGCAGGAGGTATGTTGAAGGAAACTTTCACTGCATTGAGTACCAAGGACACAGAAGGATTTATTCACCAAGTAGTTTGGATGCAGAAACAAAGGGTTTGTCCCTACTCCAGATTATGTCATGCCACGAAGTTTTGTGTCACCGAGACTTGAGGAGCTGTTTTGTCCCCGCCATTTAAATACCACTGAATCAGAAAATCAGTTTTTTACATCCATCAGCTGCCAGAAACTTTATGGTTACCGGTTACATTAATGAGAGCCGACCGCAGTCACACAACATCTATTTACATTAATTTATGCGTGCACTGTTCTTATAATTTGTAGGTGGGCAGAGCTGACCGC